CATGAGGTAAACAAGGCCCTAACTCTGTTTCTTCGTCAGGAGTTGTCGCCCAAGGAGTCGCCGCCCGCGCCTGATGCAGAGGCCAGCTCTCTAACAAAACTCGGATTGTACAGTGACCTAGTAATTAACCAACGCTAGCAGCGTAGGTTGAACTTGAACGCTGAAGAGTATGCAATTTGATGTTGATAGCGTCATAGACTTTCAATAGATTTCAATAGCCTTGCTTCCACACCCGCCCGAAAGGCCGCCGCTTTCATCACCTACAAGATTGCAGGCGAGAAGCTCGGGGTTTTGTTTTGTTCGGAAGCCTTGGTGCATGGGGGGCCAAACGAACAAGAAGTGATATAGCCCTTGCAAGAATAAGCGCATCCTCATCGGAGAAGCAAGTTGAAGGATGTTGAACGTGAAGAAAGGCAGCTTCAAGGACATGCAGCCCTCAAATAAGAAAATGGTTGTCTTCCGAGATTTTCCTGGCAGACCATGAGAACTAAATGCTAGAATCGGTTTGCTCACAAGAAGGACAGCCAAAAAACCCTCAGATGGAAAAAACCTGGGGACAAAGCAGCGTCAGTAGCATCGTGGTTTTGTAAAGTAAGTGTCCCCAAGTGCTTGGTTGAAGCTAAGGTAGGGACACTTCAGTGAGACAGGAAAAGGCGGTCTGTTTTGCAACAACCAAAGTTTGCGCAAGTCTGCCGTGGCGCGAGTCTATCCAGAAGGCAAAGAATATTCAGACGATGAACTGTTTGAACCCAACGATTCCAATGAACTTATCACAGCCTTCTCGACGAAAGCATTCGTTGATCAATTCTTGACCGTTGTACCGAACACCAACACCGTGCGACGACTCATGACTGATCGGCGCTCCCAAGACGATGATGGTTTGAGGTTTCAGGTTTCTACCGGAAAGGGGCCTTTGGCATTCATGAGCAAAAAAGGTCTGCGCGCATTAACAGCAAAGCGCAAGCGCTGGACCCTCGCCTTCCAGCACCTTCCGACCATTGTTTGCAAGGTCAAGCGCCGCAACCCTTGGTGAGCCGGCCAACATCTTCGTAGAGGAGAATTGCCTGCTGGTTCGGTCAAGTGGGATTGTTGTTATATTCAAGCTCTCTGGCGAGGACTACTCGTTTGATCGGCAGATTGGGGGGAATATGTATGTATAAATCTATATATATAATGCAACGAACCTTGAGTGCTTAAGGCCCAACATGATTCGCAAAAGGTTAGCCCAAGTAATTGTTGGCTTTTAGCGTGTCAGGGCCAGGTGAGGTTTCCCAGAAAAGTCTGAAATACTGACCATGTCAGGCGTGAATCTCAGAAAGGCCCCGAAGCGGGAAACAGATGCCTTCAAGTTTGACACTGGTGTGGAAGAGCAGTTTTTTGTTGCCTTTGCCCATTTAACAGAGGGTCTTGGCCAACCGCTTGTATTAGATCCTCATTCCAACTCTCTTACATTCAACAACTGCAAAATCACACAGCGCACCACAGTCCGCAAGTCCACCCTCGCAGGGGTGCACAGCCTGGCCACGGCCAGCTGTTCGCGGTCTTCAACTTCAAAACATCGTCGCTCTTTGCACCTATGTTCCTGTTATCTTCGTTTTTCGATCACATGGCCAAGACACGGACATTTTCTTCAACGTCGACGTGTTCTTTCATCGCATGGCCAGGTGGGTTGGGCCTTCTTTTCTCCCTACTGAGGGTTCTGGTAGATTCTGGTAGCAAGGCATCTCTCACAAGATCTCACCACCCTAAAGAAGGAGGCGGTTGCAGACAGATACCTGTGCAGTAGTGTAGCACCTGTGCAGCACTTCCCTGGTTGCATTGAAGAATTGAAACCTGTTTCAAATTCAGGAAACAGTCGTTCTGGGTCAGAAAGGTCAAAGCACTTCTTTCCAAGGCTGTAGAATCTGTAGAATCCCAAGTCCATTCAATACTACCCAAACACTCCATGACTCCATGAATATGCATGACATCTTTACCTGCACTGGGGCGGTTGAAAAGACGCCAAGGTAGGCCTATATTCCAGTTTCGTAGAGAGAGCGTGGCTTTGGGTTGTTGGTGATACCAGGCCAACCCCCACTGCTTGCGGTTGCCTTCCACCTAACCGGAACCAGACGCTAAGTTTTGTAGTGTTCGCAGACCTATGTTTGTTGGACGTTTTCGTGTCTCAAAACCTGATGCTTCAGTCTTTCCGATGAGTGCATCGCTTGGCATGGGTAATTCGTTCTATTTTTTTGAAATTGTTTTAATATTTTGTACCTGTTCCTTAAAAATCTAAGAAAACCACCAATCAACTCGAAGAGCTGGAGCTTCTCCCGGCGCTGCCCAAAGAGGAACCCCAACCTCAGCCTCTGAAAGGCTCATATGGCCCCGTGCTATCTCATTGCTATCGCAGCTCACACCAACCGCAGCTCCGTTTTTGGTACGCCATGTTCAACCCACGCTCGCGTTCCATCGATGTCGACGACCGAAGGTGTTAACCGCCAGCCTGAGCATCGAAAAGGAAGGTTAACGCCATGCATTGAGGGGAAGGAGGTACTTGGCGTTCCAGCAGTTTCATGGTTACTTGTCGTCTTATAACGTGGAACTCGGCGCCAATATTGCCTCCCAGATAGCCCGTGCTTTTCTCACTGGTTGAGATTAAAGTTGATCATGCCCTTGGACTTGGAAGTGGTTCGCCAGCGCCGGGATGTCGGCAAAGAGAAGAAGAGGGCCTTGGACGCATTGGTCTACGACAGCAGTGCCGCGCTGAAGCGCTTCAAAGGTGAAGGTTGATCCCAGTTCGGATCTTAAAGTCTCGGTGCTTGTGACGAGTTCTAGTTTCAATGGGCTCTTTGAAGTTTGGCGCTGCCAAGACAGTTTCGACTCTCTGCCCAAGATCTGCGCAAGAAAACGTTTTGCCGTTTCCTTTGTGTGTGAAACAAGTTAGTTTTGCACAAGCGCCATTACAAACTCTTATCCATTTTGGTTTGCCTGTCTATTCAGCACAGGAGCTCTTTTCAGGCCAGGCAACAACACCTTGCTATCACATCATTCCATGCAACTGCCAGTGTGAGGTTCGCAACAACGGCTATCTCCAGGCTGGGCGCTTGGTGTCAGACAATGGTGGTTGAAGATATTTCCAAGCAGACGTGAAAGCAAGCATTGTTTGGTAGCTAGCGTCGTTCCCATGGTAGATCACAGAGGTGCCTCTATATATTGTTTATTTTTCATTAGTTTGCAATGAAGAGGGACATAGATAAGTCATAGGGGAGAGCTTGTGAGGTGTTTAGCTTTGGAAGCAAGCGTCTAGAGTAGCTCAGGTAGTCATGTGACCATGTGGGACGGTCGGTGGGTTGGATTTGGTTTGGGTTGAGTTGGGCATTCATTGTTTACCTTTGGAACAGTTGCAAGATGGACAGGAGTGACAGGTTTGTTGGCAACATCGGTGCAGTATGCAGTATGCACGGTGGAATGATACAATTGTTATCAACTCATGAAGTTTCGTTGGGACTAGTTTTTTACAACCTGGAGGGCTGACACCACAAGGAGCGGGGGTGAAGCGGGGAAATCATCCAATGATCACATTCACTGTCCAAACAAGTCCAATGATATCAAGATATCCATATTGATTGATTATCACGGGTAGAGAGTATATTCGTTGATGATCGTTTTCGCTTTTCGTTCATCGTCGGATCTAACGCCGAGTTCCTGGTTCCCCTTTGGCCGAGTTCCATCGAGTGCCGCGTTGGAGCCATACCGATCGCTTTCTAGTGACGCATCCTGCTTTTCACCCAGCAAAAGTCTTTGTTTCAGTCAGGGTTTTGACAGAAGGCAATGACTTTCCTGCGGCAAAAGTCTTGTGTAGTTTCTGAAATTGGTATAGAGATTTCTTAAATGTATAAAAAGGCCATCGAGGCCATCAAGAATCCGGGATCGCATATCGACAAATCTCCAAACCTTCAAGTGTGTTCGAGTCAAGCCATCCAAATGTGCCAAGTACCATAGGTATAACAGGGTGTAACGATACGACAAAACCCCTGAAACGATGGTTTGCCCCTGAAACCGCAAGAAGACTCCGTCAAATTCACCTTCCGGCGCCTCTTCTGGCACCGCGCGGCCTGCACCGCGGCGACCGCCTCGGGTGTGCCGCATGGGTCGGCCGAGGTGATGATGGTGGAGGCCTGGCAAGCGCATGAACTTTCGGTGGAGCAGGTGAAGAGCTTCACCAATGCTGTGGCCCGGTGTGAAAGTTCAAGTGTCGCGGACAGGTATGGGGCGGGCCAAACTCCTATTGGTATGCGAGTACCAAGCGGAGTGTCTCCGGAAAAGTGAAAAAGGTGTGGAAAGGTTGAAGATTGATGAAGATTGATTTCTGCAATAGCACGTGGTTCTGGGTGGATCAAAATTTAATGAACAGTCATGAAGAGGCAAACAAACACACTATTAATATATATATATATAGTAATATTTAGTTACATGTATTTATTCCGTGGTATTCTATAGTTGTAGCTACATTGCGTGGTCGTTTGTTGTGGTTTTGTGCAATCCTGATGTGTTTTGTCTAAAAGCAACATACAGTCGTTGAGGGAAATGTTCGTTTTGCGTTGTTTTTAAGAAACCCCGAAACAGATCCAACCCTATACATGATATAACCAACCGATTGAATTAAACAACACACCAGGTTACTGCGTGATGTTTTGTATGGACTTTTCATTACTTTCCTGGATAAATCTCAGCGATTTCCTTGAACCCCCCTAATGGTCTCTATGATGGTCTACTCGAACGCAGCGAACGAGGTGGGCTTCAGCAACTGCCGCCAGAGCTCGCTCTCCATCGGCACCTCTACAGTCCAGGTGTGGGCAGATGGGGAATCAGTCAAGAGAAAAAGATGAAAAGACATGGGCTAAAAGCCAATGACTTGGATATCTGGTTTCTTTGCTACAGACCCAACAGTAAATGAAATGATCGGATGAGCTGCATGATTTCAATGGTCGGCGGATGGGTGCCACTTTGTCGTTGACAAGCCATCTCTTCGAAGAGGACTTCCCCAAATTTGCCATCTCTTCAGTTAGAAGTTGGAAGGTGAACACTCATGAACACCAGGTTTGATGCCTGGAACATGCTGCACAGCGACGCGAACCGTGCAGGTGGTCCTCTCCGAGAGCGCCCCCAACGCGGGGGACGGTTGCGGCTTGGTCTCCGACGGGATGTACGTGGCGGTGGTGCCTCGGCATGGCATGGCGGTAGTCGGATGAGTTGCGGGGTTCACCAGTTGATGAGTTGTCAGACAGCAAAATAGGACTGGAAGATTCACCCTGCCCTTGAAGCATTTTTGACGGATTGACCTTTGAAGCATCTTGAAAACCATTCGAGAAGATTTAGGGAAATATGCCAGTCGCCTGGAGTGTTTGGGAATGTCGATTGAGCGTGACTGCATGAATATGGCGGGCTTGGAGTCCGGTTCTATCAAGGGGACAGCCGGAATTTGTGGGACTGGAGTGGTTGGGGGGTTGGAGGGTCGCAGTCTGGGCTGTCGAGATCTTGAGGCCATAGACTGACTGGATATTCAAAGACAATGAAATCCTCGGAATAGGTGCCGAGAGGCGAAAAAAACCGAACGTCTTGGAGGTCCAGTCTACTCCATAATCAACAACAAGGATCCAAAAGGCACCTTACCTTTTAAAGGGGGTGCCTTCTGCATGGGGACCTTTGCATCTAGTCAGTCCTTGCTACTAGTAACAAGTGCATCGCTACTAGTAACAAGTGCATTACTACTATATAGTAGCAAATAGCTACTAGTAGCGTCCTTGCTACTAGATCAGGACCTTTGGATCCGTTCTGTTTTCTTGAGGGCTTCCATCGTCCGATCTATTGTGGGAGGGAGATCTCCAGCTGAGCGGGGCTCGTGCAAGCGAGGTCTACGTGGAAGATTTGAACGGCCGCTTTGAGCAGTGGTCCGGGGATGGTTCTTGGGGCCCGTTCTGGATCGGATATTCACATAGTCATAGAACTATATATAGAACGTACAGCTGCAATCAGCTGCATTGGTTCCGGGATGCGGCTTTTGCTAGGTTCTATAATTTAAATAGTCGTTGAGTTTACGAAGGACTCCAAGAGTCAAGCACGGCTGGTTGTGGAGAACTCATGACAATGTTCAGAGTCATGCCATACAACTCCAGTGATATCCAATGATCGATCATGCTTGTGCAAGAGTTAACCAGATTGACCTGTCATGGCCTTCTAGACAAAACAAAACACGGCACCGTTTGTGGGGTAAGGCTATCAGTGGCAAGACTCGGCAAGACTGGTGAGAGAAGACATGTGGCACCACAAACAGATGATAACCCATGATTTTAAAAATATATATATATATGGATATAGTATAATAGGATAGTTAATGATAGTTTTATATTACTGTGTTTTTTTGTGCATCTACATTTCTTGTTTTGAAGGCAGCAAGTCTCCCAGGCATGATGTTAGTTCTTTAGTTCGCGTTCTTCCACGGACACTCCGTGCCGACGACGGCCGGGTTGTGTTGGCTCCGAGGTCTCAACGATGGGACCTTGGCTCAGCTCTTGGTCCATGTGAGCCCTGAGAAGGCTTTGTCAAACATCTTGGGTGCAGGGCCTATGATGGCACAGAACCCTTCAAGCAGCCGCCTGGCGACTTTCTTGTGGTTGTCATTGTTGCTTTGTGTCTAGTTGTTCTACTTTGATCAGGTTTGATCCTGTTTTGTTGTTTTTCATATAATCAGGCTTCCTTGAGTGTACCTCTTCGAGGGATGAGTTTGTCATGACCCACCTTCTAAATCTATATGAAATGACCCGATATGGTGGGTCTTGCAGAAGAGGCAAGCATTCATCATATTGAAGGTGCAAAGGAGCAGCAAGGGCCTAGGGCCTAGGGGTTTGCTGATTGTTTTCGACATATGTCGACAGAACTGACCTCTCCCAGGTGATGTTCGGCTGAAGTTTGTGGCAGTGGTGCCGGGGAGGCCAGAACGGGCCATGGACCGCTGGACCGCAACCGACCGACCGAGCGAGTTTGTATAGAAACGGAGTCTCATGCTTTGCCCTTTCGAGTGCGTTTGTCGCTTCATGTTCGATCCTTTCCGAAACAGTCATGCTGCTGCCAAGAGTTCATGTCTGAAACATTTGGTGCTCCCCTTCTGCCACAGATTGGTCCATCAGGTACTGGGCCTTCATTTTGCCTTCAGACAGGAGAAGGGTTTTCAAACCCATCTTCTGGCAAAAAGAGGAGGTCGTGACCTTCGTGAGGAACAACATTCAGACATTCCAAAGAGATGCTCTAGTACTCACGCTCTTGGAATGGAGAAGTTCTCAATTCACTACGATGGATGCACTGCCACCATGCCATTAATGGCCCAATACGAATTGCGCTGCAAACGTCGTGAGATTTCCAAGCGCCAGGATCAATGTCTTCACCGTGGAGACGGCGAAGTTCATGGACCTGAACCCGGACACCGTGGGGCAAGCGACCTGCCGAAAGAACGAGGCGGGGTTCCGTGAAGGAAGCTGAAGAGAGAAGTGAGAAGCAAAGGAGAGCAGTTGATGGCTGTGTTACTACATGTTACTGCGACTGTTGATGCAAGCAGGGTTTGAATCCTGGCGTAGCTGATAGCTTGGGGCACTGCATATATATATATACAGGTTAGACATGCTAGTAACAGCTGCACATTGAAAGCGCCAACGAAGCACCTCACCGTGTTGGCAGAAACTTGACATGCCATAAGCATTACACCTACGTTTGTGCATGACCCCAGAATTAAGTTTCTATTTCATCTACTTGGCAGCACTCATTCATTGAGGCAAATGTCTTCCAAGTCAAAATCCGTCATTTTTCTTGCTATGCCAGACATTCCAACCCTCAGTATTGGTGGCATGGACTGTTTGCCGCAGGTCGTGATGGGCGTGGGTGAGACCATCGTAGAGCTAACAGGATGCGATTTGGTGCTGAGTGGCGCTGGAATTACCTTTTACTCCGCCTTCGTGTATGTCGCTCGGCCCCATCCGCGGACGATGAGGAGGTCTGACGTTTGCCGACCTTTGCTGCAGCGTTTGGGGCCCGGCCGCGATCAACGCCCGGTGTTGTTCCAAGGTGGAGGACGACACTGGGACCACAGGAGAGCTCTCACCACCGATCAATGCTGCTGAGACAAGAGGAGTTGGAGGGGCTGTTTGGGTGGGGTGCAACTCTCTGGCGCAGGTGGAGGGAGGGTGAGTGGTGTGCGTGGTCTATCTGGTGTGGGTTTACAGCGTAATAATCCGTATAATAAGTAATATGCTACTGTATACAGATCTCAGAACAAAAGTTTCTTACAACCAAGGGGAGGTGGAACACACCCTGAAAGGTGCGCAGGAAAGAGCTGAAAGGAGTTATGCTAGGAGTATCTCAGTCCATCCGATTGCCCAAAGCTTGGCTGTGTTCAGGTGATCGGGGTGGATATCACCCGTCCTGTTGACATCGAATATAGAGAGTACCCAAGACATGCCTTTCAATTTTTGTCAAAGTTCTGCGTTAACTTACATAACTGCCTCTCTTCAATTAATTGTAGGGTTTCAATCAGCCCAGTGCAGCATGTTCCCTGAGCTAGAGGGTCTTCGCAGACCTTTGGTTAGAGGTTAACAGGCAGTCCTGCGGTTGAACGCGGCACGATAGCATTTGTGTGCAATACTTGAATCCCACACTCCGCATTTTGGTGTCTTGCATTGTTGAGCTACTGTAATTTATGCGGATATCTACGGAACGATTTCCAGGATGCTTGTCTTCACCAGTAAAGAGCACCCGGCACATATGTTCATGACTTGTCCAGGAGGTCAGAACATTGTTAGCAAAAAAGGACTATGATCCTTGATCTACGAAGCAGACATTGGAATGGACATACCATAGAATACCCTTCAGACTACTCATGAATGCTGTCCACCAAAGCATACCTAAACAAATAGTAACAGTAATACGTTACTTTGTATATGTTCACCAGGTGGTCCGGCCAGAACCTTCTCTGACCAGAACAGACGTTGGGCACGTTATCATCCCAGACTTGTTCACCCAGTTCCATTCAGTTTCCAGAACACTAGGGCCTTGCCCCTAGGGGTGGTTATGGTATGTTATGGTGATTGTTTGCTTGCACTTCAGGTCTTAAACATCAGCAACAGCTTTCTGTGGCCCTATCCCACCATCGCCGCCTTCGACACCAATGGCTCCCTCTCAGTGGAGCTCTATCCGCGGAACTCGGGCCGCCTGTGGGCGCGGATTGTCACTTGGCGAAAGGATTGGGCGGCACCATCAAACCTGCCACCGGACCTGCCACCGAGCTAACGCATCTACCCCACCTCGATGTCCAAAAGAACACCTTTTTGATCCTGTTCGACTCTCGACCCTAGCTGCTAACTGACGCTTTCTTTCAGTTCCTTGCAACGCTCTACTTGACCGTGGAGCGCTATTCCGGGGAGTTGTCCTTGGACGTCCTGAAGAACTGGCCAGTTGCTGGGCCTGGAGGTGTGAAAGATGGTGTTGAGTCCGTGGTGAAACACACCCGATGGTGTAAAGCAAGAAGAGGGTTGGATGGGGTTGAAGACTTTAGGGCGTCATGACGCGAACCCGAAAGAACGAAGAAAAGAAGAGAACCTGAGTGGTTTTTACAGAATGGTATATGATGGTATATGGATGAACAAGTAGGTGTTTTTTCCTCCAATCTGTTTGAGGCGTTCCAGTTGTTCATGAAATCATACCATGCACTGGTGAATTGGGTCCAAGTCTCCCCATGTTTTGTTCCTTGGGTCCTCGGTTTCTGTAGGTTTCTGTGTGGTTTTGTTCCATTTCAGTATATTTGGGTAGCGTTGAGCGCAGCCATAGGCTGAGAGCCATGTCGATCTGAGGCTTATCCTAACAATGGGCCGTGCCTTTTCAGCACGGCTCCGGCGATGGGGACGCCAGGATGGGGTTTGAAGATGGAATGCCATCCGCCATCATCTACCCCATGTGTACTATGTATATTTTCGGACAAGTACATACAATGACTTGCCTTGGGTTGGGAGTGTTGGGACATATTGGGACTGGCACATGGGTGATTGACTCTGTGCCGAAATAAAATCGTTTTAGTGCAGTTTGGGTGAATAAGTTTTGCCGAGGATTAAGGCTTGACAAACACGAAATGGAACAAGGCTGCATGGAATTGCCGTGTTGGACTTGCTTGTAAAGCAAGCATGGAGCCTTGGCAAACCCTTTCAGACTATACCTGAGTTTTGGAAAGCGCACCGACATTTTGTGTATATAGCATGAACATCATGACATTGCATCCATTAAACATGTTTGGACTATGTTGAAACTGTATATGACTATAAAAGAATATAACATCTATATAAGATCTACTATATAGTCATCAAGTCTCTAACCCCCAAATGCACCGATCGGACACCCACCGACCGATCAGGTCCTACGAGAACGCCAACTGCAGCTTCGATGCCTTGGACTTCACGGTGGAGCTGAACCCGTTTGGCGGCCAGGCGGACAGCCGCGCGCAACGAGCGGTTCTGGGTCTCGGGGCGGTTTTGCGGTGAAACCGCATGCCGCGAAGGATGATGCGCCGCTGCACCGAAGGACGTGATGTGGGTGGGAACAAGAAGCTACGAACGGGGCTCCTGGCATCGCTACTAGGAGCAAGGACGCTACTAGGGGGGGACTGAGCTGGTCGTAGTTTCATGATTTAACTATGAAGTGTTTCCAATTACCACCTTAATTGTTACTAGTAGCGATGGCCTCCAACCTACTTGCCATAGCCTCCACATTACTAGTAGCGTCCTAGCTACCAGTACTATGTGAGTGATTGAGATCTGAAGTGAACTAGCACGCATAGTTCTCATGTTATCTCTATATATTATAAATTATAATATATAAACTTGTCCAGTAAACAAGCACTTGGCGACCCCTCTTTTCCTCTTTGTACTTGAAAGGCAAGTTGAGCCGGACCAGAGTGCACCTATATAATCCTGAATTGGCAGCAGCCATCATGGAAGTCTGGGCCCACTAATTCTGAGGAATCAAGCTCCGACACCACTTCCAAGAAATGTGGTAGTACATCTTTGGAATCCTAGTGCCAAGGATCACCTAGCATGTGGCTTTACAGACTTTTCAGGATTTACACAAGTCAGGCCAGGAATTATCAGTGTTCCGCCCTTGAGCACTTGTCCTGGGTAGTTCAGTTTTATGCACCTGGGCGAACATTTCTTTGTTGCTGGATGCTCCTTTTTAAACGAGCAAGGTGGTGAGCTTGGGCCCACCATAATGCCACCTCTTTACGCTCGCATCTCCCAAAGCGGCAAAAGAAATGCACAATGTGCAATCGCCAGATGCTAGGCGAAGCATTGTCCAGCGCAACATCTGATGGATGTTCAAGAAAAACAACATCTGAGCAGCGTTTGCCCAATGCTGCCAATGCGGTCCATTCCGGGAAATTATGTCTTGTGCATACGGAGGGCAGCCTGGTGGAGCAATACCCTCATGGAGAACAAGAGCTTGTTCCACTTGGTTGCTGGTGACGTGAATCCCTTGGGTCTTCTGTAACCAACCTTCGCGAACCAGTACTACTCAGTAGACCAGTAGATCCTGCCACGATAGGAAGCCAAAGTTCCGATATGTTCCGATGACTAAAGGCAAGTCAATGCTAGTTATGTTAATTATGTTATGTTGCAGAGAAATAGTAAACGCACTCACTCATTTGTGATGCATGTGCATTCATCGAACGATGACACGCACAAATCATGAAGTGTACGAAGACCGCTCTGGTTCGAGGGAAAAGCGCTTCGCATGGTAGCGGAGCCTGAGAAGCCTACCCCCCTTTGGGGGGGTAGGTGGAGGCTCTTTTTTTTTTTAGCTGACGCCATAGGCGTGGTGCTTGGTCCACATCCCAAAGCCCGAAGAGGTTCCTGAGGAGGAGTTCGGTGGCCATGGCTGGTTTGGGAGAAGCAGCTGTATCTCCTTCATCGGCTGCCGGAGGAGGTGAAGGAGCTGAGATCGCAATGAGAATGGTTCAGGCGGCCGAGGCTGCCTCATTAGCTGCAAGGTCGGCGGCTGAGGCCTTGGTCCGGCGCAATGCCGGAGAAGAATCTTGGTTCAAGGTGCTGCCGAAGCCAGCACCACTGGATGCCCGAAATCGTGAGGAGGAGCTCGGACAGTGGCGAGACTTTAGTTGGGGGCTTGAGCAGTACCTTTCATCCCTGAATGGCATGTTCACCGAGGACTTCAAGGACATCAGGGCAAGGCCGAACGACCCCATCGACCCGAGCATTCAATCTGATGAGGAGAAGCAGAGAAGCAAGTTCTTGTATGCCCTGCTAGCTTCTTTGGTTAAGTATCGCCCTCTTGCCATGATCCGCCAGGTCAAAGAGTCCAACGGCATGGAAGCATATCGTCTTCTCATCCAGAGCTTGGAACCCACCTCCAAGAACAGGGCACTCGGCCTTTTGACTATGATCTTGGAATGGAAGCCCTTTGAGATGAAGAAGGGCAGCATCTTGGGACAGGTCCTTCGATTGGAAGAGGCCTTTGCGGAGTATGAGAAAACGGGTTCAAGGCTCGAAGACAACATCCGCTTCGCCGTCCTGATGAGATGTGTTGGTGGCCAGCTCAAAACCTGGCTTCAGCTGAACGTAGCTGAGTCTCAGGACTACCAGAAGCTTCGAGAAGCCATCATCCAGTACGACAATGCGACGATGAGATGGACAAATGTGATGATGCTTGGAGCTGAGGCCGGCGGTACAGAAGGAGTGGTCCCCATGGAGATCGACAGGATCAAGGGCAAGGGCAATGACTACAAGGGCAAAGGAAAGGGCAAAGACTTCGACAGAAAGGGCAAAGGAAAGGGCGATGGGAAAGGAAAAGCCAAAGGTAAAGGCTATGGGAAACCTCAAGATGCTGGAGGCAAACCTCAATCAGAGGGCACAGGAAAGGGGGACAGTCAGAAGGGCCAGAAAGGAAAGACAGATCAAAAGACCTGCTTCACCTGCGGAAAAGTGGGTCATTTCTCCAAAGATTGCTGGCAACGCCTTCGGCAGGTCAGTGAAGAAGGTGGAAACCCCCGATCCAATGCCGAGACAGGAACAGTGGCATCGAGCACCACGACATCGAGCCCAGGGACGAGCGGAAAGGCAGGAACCGTGAAGAGAGTGGAAGAAGTTTCACCTTTTGAATTCAAGAATGAGGCCATGGTCTTCGATTTGAGGCCTATATCAACGCCAAGCATGGACAGCAAGCAAATCAGGATGGTGCAATTTTTCTCCATCGCTGAGGAGAATGAGCCCAATGAGGAGCACGACAAGCTGATCTACCACATCATGGCTGTGAAGGAGCATTAGTCCAGTGAAGGTGGTCATCGACTCAGGGGCTGATGCGACGATTCTGCCAAGCTCCTATTTGGCCATTGGCACTGAGCTAGATGAAGGTGCACCTCGCCTGCAAGATGCTCAGGGGACACCCATAGAGATCCGAGGATACAAGCAAGTGTGCTTCATCTTCAAGACTGAGGATGATAAAGAGGTTCAGATCTTCGACAAAGCCCATTTCTCTGACGAGATCAACCAGCCCATCATTTCCTACGGCAAGTTGATGGAAGCAGGCTGGAACATTGAAGCTGGGCAGTTGAATGGGGGCCAACATTCCATGACGTTTGGTCTAGGGCAAAATGTTGTGAGGATTCCACTTCAGCTGCAAAACAGGAGTTTGGTGGCCACTGGACATCTCCGTGCAGTGGTTGAGGAAGCGTCAGATCCTATGATGGTCAGGGTGCTGGAGGCAAGGCTGCTTGATGGCCTGCAGATGAAAGCTCGATACCAAGTCGGTTGGAAGCAAGAAGAGGACCAGTGGATTGGAGTCAATTTGTCGACGAAGCTGCAAACGCCACAGTTTGTGGGTGAGATTCCTTCAACAGTTGATTGGAGGAGGACGACATTGGTGAAGGTTGGAAACCAATGGCAGTTGTATGAGATGTGTGAAAACCTCCATGGGCTTGTGAACCAGGAGGAGCAGCTTGAGAACATCAAGGACAACACCCTGGTCCTTACGATACTCACCCCAGATGAGGTGAGCACTGAAGATATGGGCTTTGAGGTCGAGACTGGCCTTGACTTGAGGCCAAGGGCGGATGAGGCCCTGGCGATGAGAGAGCATGAGATCCCCATGGAAGAGCCATTGAGGATGGAAGATGAGGCAGGAGGTGCAGAAGCAGCAGCTGATGGGGGATTGATCGCTGAGCGTGCAGTAGCTGATGAACAAGAAGGACGCTTGGTATTGGAGGCCGGACTGCCAGACCATGTGATTGTGAATGACATCCAGTTGACAGCCACAAGCAAGTTGAGAGAACTTCGCGCAGCATGTCACTTCTATGGCATTAGCCAATCTGGGAGCAGGTTGAAGTGTTTTCAGCGCATCGTGAGCCATCTCAAGGAGCGTGAATGAAAGCCGCCTCTGAGGCAGTGGCAGCTGCAGAACTTCAGATGGCCAGACAGCCCAAGATGCAGAACATCATTCCAGTGCCTTCGAAGCAGGTGCAAGATCTACATGCCCTCACACATGTGCCATACCAGCCTTGGTGTGAAGTTTGCTTGAAGTACAGAGGGAGACCTGACCGGCACTTGAGGACAGGTGCTTCTCACACAGGTGGGATTCCAATCATCTCCCTGGACTTTGCCTACACCAAAGCTGGAGAGATAGATAGAGCGCCGGTGGCGAGAGATCGTGGACATGATCCTGATGATGGTGACGAGGTGATCGACCTATATGATCAGGAGGAGCGAGATGGTGAACGTGATCCAAGGATCAGAGAGCTCAAGTCAACCATGTGGCTGATTATGGTGTGCAGCCAGACTGGAAGCTTAGGAGCTGTCCCTCTTCAATCCAAAGGACAGCTGAATCTCATGGCTCGTGAGATCATGAACTTTGTCCACAATTTGGGCCATGTTGAGATTGGCTTGTATGGTGACAACGAGCCAACGATTCGCTCCCTCCTGAGGATCCTTTTGAATAGCAGGCATGCTATGGGCCTTCGAACTCGTCTCTATACCACCAAGGTGAAGGATTCTGCTGGCAACTCCCTGGCCGAGAATGCCATCCAACGTGTACGAGGCCTTGCATGCACCTTGATGGGTGAAGTCATGGCGAAGACAGGCCTGGCGTTCAACGCAAATCACGGGCTGTGGAGTTGGGCTGCTCGTCATGCATGTTGGCTATTGAACAAGTTTCAAGCCTCTCAAGGCATCACAAGCCACGAGTTGGTCCATGGCAAGACATACAATGGTGCTTTGGTTCCTTTTGGATGCCCGGTATATGCCTTTGTGAAGCCACAGTCTGGAAAAGGGAATCCCAGATGGAGGATGACTTTGTTTCTGGGAAAGACGGAAGGTCAAGATTCCTGGATTGTTGGAGATGGCAGCCAGGTCATGCTGACACGGTCTGTGAGAAGGGTGGACCGACCTTGGAGGAGCTTTGGCGCCTACTTCCAGAACTTTGCCACCTTCACCTATGAGTACCAGATCAACTTTGGAGGCCGCATTGTTCCAAGCAAAAGAGCAGCCAGCGCAGTCCCTTTGCAGCTTGGGCCAGCACCTCCAAGAGATGAGATCATCTTCCGGTACCGTGATGAGGAGGCTGAGGAAGTGGAGCGCTATGCCTTGTCAAAAGAAGGTATGGAAGAGAGTCAGCGGGAGATTGAGGAAGCCCGTAAGCCCGGTGAAGAAGCAATGACTGCTGAAGCTGGTGAGGCAGCACCATCTGCCCCGCAAAGAGATGAGCCTAGTGGAGGATTGCGGACGCCCCCAGCTCTGAGTGTTCAACCTGGGGAAAAGGGCACAGGAGGAGAAACTCCAATGGTCATTGAGCCATTGCCTTGGGACGATGATCCAGTACCTCCTGAAGGGCGAGTTCTGAAGAAACTCCCGCCACCAGAGTCTGCAGTCAGGGCGGAACCCGAGGCAAAGAGGGCAAGGACAAGTGAATCGTCAGGTGGAAGATCAAGTGCATCAGGACATCAACAGATAGTAGAACGTAGAGTTGAAAAGGTGTGTGTTGGTGAAGACATCATGTACCACCTAGATGAGGTCCTGGATGTTGAAACGATGGCCATTGAAGAGGGTGAAGAGGACTTGGAGGATCTGACTCCTGGAGCAATTCCTGAAGAACTTTGGAGTGACGCACCTCTCACTCAGACTCCTCCAGATCCTGACAGGGAAGTAGACCTGCTGGCGAACAAAGTGGAGGAGAAGAGGCTAATGAGGATGCATGTGATGGAGAAGCTCACTCCAGAGGAGGCGTATTTGGACAAGCTCACCACCCGCTTCGTTCATGACTGGAGGATAAAATCATATGTCCAAGCCGATGGAAAGATGAGGAAGCGATGGCTGCGAAGAGCAAGGCTGGTGGCAAGAGAGTACGCCAATGACAGATGTGATGAGGTGTACAGTCCTGCCTCAGGACAACATGCTCTTCGACTTCTACCTGCACTGTTCTTGAACGACGTGGTATTGAGTCAGGGCATCGGTGGAGACCAAGGAGCACCTACTCTTGGAGCACTGGACATCAAAGATGCTTTCCTGCAGGTTCCTCAAGAACGTCCTCTCCAAATTACCACGAATACAGGCTACTACAAGGTCCTGATTGGAGCTAAAGCCTGGTACGAGTTCCTTCGAAGCTACCTCGAGAGCGAGCTCAACTTCACCTTCGATGTGGTGAACCCCTGTCTAGGACGAAAAGGTGCAGGAAGTGAACTCGTGTGTGTCTTGGTGCACGTTGACGATGTGATGTTCACTGGACGTCAGAGGCCAGTGGATGCCTTTGTGGACAAATTGAAGGAAAAGTTCGATGTCGAGGTCTCTATGATCAGGAACCACAACGATGAGTTCTCCTTCCTCAAGCGAAAGTATGTCTATGTCCCTGAAGGCCTCCTGGTGAGACCTGGACAGTATGCCACAAGGATGATCAAGACCTTTGAGGACAAACATGGACCTGTGAGGAGACAGCGACTGCCAGCCACATCCGACATCCAAGATGCTGATGGATCGAATGCAGTTCCACATGAGATGATAATGATGCTTCAGTTTTTCGCTCCATTGTTGGTATGGGCATCTACCTTTCACAAGAAAGGTTGGACATCAGCTTTACGATAAAGGAGCTGGCCAGCAAGATGGCAAGCCCAACGGAGCTGGCAATGCAGAGAGCTCGAAGGTTGGTGGGCTACCTCAAGGAGACCGAGGAGCAACACATCCTACTTCCTCTACCAGTACAAGGGCAAGGCCTGCGTGGACACAGCCACGAAATCTGGCTCCTGGAGAGCTTCACAGATGCTGATTGGAGTGGCAACAAGGCAACGAGAAAGAGCGCATCTTCGTCCGTCCACAGCTTGAATGGCATGGTAGTGTATACTACTTCGAGAGGCCAGAAGGTGGCGAGCCTCTCTTCAGCTGAAAGTGAACTACATGCACTGGTGGCAGGAGCATGTGATGGCATCTGCATCAAGCATGCTCTCGAGTTCTTGACAGGAGACCCTGCGCAGCATGTATGTTGGGTGGACAACTCCGCAACAAAGCAAATCGCCAATAAGCGTGGAGCTGGACGACTCCGCCACATCAATGGAAAATTGCTCTGGTGCCAGAGCAAAGTGGCTGATGGCACCATGGAGGTCAAACAAATCAGCACAGTGTTCAATGTTGCTGACATTGGCACAAAGCCTCTATCCAAAGCAAGGCTGAGACTCCTTCTGTTCTGGTGCAATGCCAGAAATGGAGATGGAAGCCGTGTGGGTGAACAGGAGCATCAGGACTTCGAGAACAACCACCTTCGAGAAGGGTAAAATCATGAAAGTCGCTAAGTACCTCAACAAAATTGTCTTCTTGAGCGGTCTTGAGCTGGCCGCGGGTTCCAAAGCAGATGAGAGCTATGTTGAGAGCCACTACATGTTTCCCTTCCAGTGGGTGATCCTCCTGACCATCTTTGGCTTCCTGGTCTTTACCATCGTGATCCTATGGAGCAGAGTTCAGACCTTAGCCAAGAGGGTTGCCTTCCTGCAGCACCGAGTTGAAGAAGAGGCCCAAGCACAGCAGAAGTACATGGAGGAGCAAGACAGGGAGAACTCCATGGCAGTGGACTATACAGAGCGAATCCACAGAGGCCTGATCAATGCTGGAGGTCACGTAGAAGATCCCTCAGTGCAGAGGGTAGAGTGGCAGAGCCTGAAGTATGTGGAGGAGGTCAACAAATGGCACGATGGTCTGAGATTGAGGAAGAGGTGGAACAAGATGGAAGTGATCCAAGCAGAACGAGGAGATCAACTACCAGGAGCTGGCATCTATCGCATTGACGTTGATCCTGGTGAACCTGGTTTGAGTGGAGATAGTGTGGTTCTGGTGCTAGACAATGGGCGAATTGTCCAAGTGCCAGTGGAGTATGTAGAGCCGACTGCAAGCGAAGCCGCTGGAAGATGAAACGAAGAAGTCTCGATGGTTGAGCCAGAACCATCGCCAGGAGAAGAAGGACAACAAGATGAATCTATGGACAGTGAGCACGAAAGTGCCCCGGAGGTTGTCGATGCTCCCTGGGAACCGGAGAGCATCAAAATTCCAGATCCCCAATTTGGCCATTTCAATAGAGCTTACAAGCGAGCAGATCTCACCGCTCGGGAGGAAGTTTTGAAGATGGAGGCCAATTGGTTCCATGGACATAGGAATGGTGCACGAGATCTGATGCATGAAATGCAAGACCTGATGGCCGGATCCGTGCACCACATCCACAACTTTGACCCGTGAAGGGTTGAACCATGAGTGAGACACTCAAAGGTTCAAAGGAGGAGTGCAGAGAAATAGTAAACGCACTCACTCATTTGTGATGCATGTGCATTCATCGAACGATGACACGCACAAATCATGAAGTGTACGAAGACCGCTCTGGTTCGAGGGAAAAGCGCTTCGCATATATTAGCTTAGTATTAATGAATCTTGACTTTTGTTGTGAGCTTATGATGGTTACTTTTGGACAGGCCTAGAAGTGAACATGGACATCTTGGGCAAATTCATCTCATTCGTGGCGATTCATAGTCTACTGAAACCATCTTTGACCTTGAAATCAGTCCTTGCAAACCTAAGCAATCTCTTAAGCTATCAGAAGCGGTGAAAACAGATGTCCTGTGCGTGAAAAACAGATGTCATGAAGATTCCTATCGAAAGACTATGGGTATGGCATAGCAACCCCCCCCCAGAAAGGTGACGTTCTCACTTGTTGGTGGTTTCCGTTCTTTAAACCTGACCACTTGGTCAACAAGCATCAATGCTCATTGTAGCTCTGACGTGGGAAAGCAGGAAAGCGGTTCAAGGCACGAGGAGTAGATGCATTGACAGAGAGGTCCAAGTGAAGAAATCCAAATGAACCACTTCAAACGCGACATGGGCTCAAAAACCTAGGTTTTGGAGGGTTGAATCCAAAGGGCACGTTGGGACTTGTGAACATCTCACATATGCCAGCCTGCCCTAAGTGGGAGCCCAGGCTGGTGAATACATGAATCCATCCGCCTCGCTTGCTTCCTCACGTAGGCCAAAACGTGGTTGAACTTCAGCAACTGCACCTTCGATCCCCGCACCGAGTACATGCGCCTGGGATTCCTGATGTTTGCGCTTGGCCGCATTGACATTGGCAGGCATGTTCAAGATTTGAATGTGCATGTTCGACAACCCGAAGCGGGAACATTCGGTGCTCACGGAGCAAGAAAACACAATTTGGATTGATGAGGTCGGCTGTTGAGAAAGATGAGTTGGAGTTGTTTTTTTGTTGCTGTTGGTGGTGGTTGTCATCGTGGTCGTTTCAAATAACCACTGAAGCGGCTAGGTCCAGGTGTGGCCAGTGTGAAACCTTCTCGCTCATCGCAAAGTCTTGCCTTCATACTTCATTAGATATTGCCTTGCAAGCACAGACTTCTGAATGCATTTCAAGACTTGTCCATGGACTGCCTTTGTATAGGCAATCCAAAAGCACCTCTATGTCACAGACAGCACGTCAACAGCATGGTAGAAGGCCTTGGAAGTCACCCGAGGATAGGGATCTACATCGAGGATTTCAACGACAACAGTGATGGAGAGATCAGCAGTGTGCGGGTACTGAAGCTGGCTGATGCTAGCCGCTTGGTCACTGCGGGGAAGCGGTCACCATGATCCCACTACTTGCTAGCAGATTTGTACCAGGTTGTATCTATCGTTTGCAAGTCGTCCTGGTAGTACTGCATGGTGGTAGGAAATGATCATAGTAAGGCGTTGCAAAGCCCGAAATGCTTTGCAGAGCCACGGGACAGCAAATTTGCCACAACCAATAGGACTGCTGAACATTTGCAAGGGGACAGAGCATGGCAGGAGCAGTGCAGGCTGGAACAAGTCCCACCTGGACTTGCTCGTTTGCGGGGAAGATATTGTGACTGAGTCCATGGAGGCCTAGCTCCATCAATGGTGAAACCTTCCACGGGCATGTAACCGCTGTCATGTGTGTAATTAGTTGGTTGACAAGGTGACAAGCACCACTGGATCAACCAGGATGGTCATCCACCTGGATTGAAAGGCTGGAAGAATGGTCGTCCAATGATTAGGAAGGCTTGGCGGCCTCACGTCATTTCCCCCCAGTGTTCAAATGAATTTTCTAACGGTCGGATTTTCTCAACATGTTGTGAGGGGGCAATGGTGTTTCGCTGCCTATGCTCGATAGACCCTCGGACAAGCCTTATCAACCACCAATCAACCATGAGTCTCCATGAAGAGATCCACATGCTACAAACCACTCAAACACACTGCTCAGCACCATCCAGGTGACTCCTTAACACGAGAGTGACGGTCATGTGGGGGCGGAACGGAACCTATTCTCTCCTCCCGAAAAGCAATCGAGAGCCTACAGGTTTGATATGGTTTGATTTGGGCCCAGGCAACTACTTCATCATTTCACCCAGACTCCTGGGCACCGCCTATGCTGATAACTTCACCATGGAGTTTCGGACAGCCTACGCAGGCACGGTAAGAAAGTTCGAGTGATGACGTTTGCCAGAGATACTGTTCATAGAGGCATTTGGATCAACAAATAAACATGTAAAGGATGAAAAAAAATAACATTATCAAAGAACAAAGTAAATGAAACAAATAATCAAGTCTTCGAGTCTAGTGGTCCCCTAGGCCCTTGGTCTCCTAGTCCACTGCTCCTTCGATCGGTCTCTTGGTCTGCTAGTCCGCTGGTTTTCTGGTCCTTCGGTCTCCTGGACTGGTTCTTTGGTATATAAATAAACTCAAATGGAAGGTCGTCCATCGGTTTCCTGGTCCTTTGGTGCCCTAGTCCATTGGTCCCCTGGTCCACTGGCCTCGCGGTCCATTGGTCAATGTTGGTCAAAAACACGAGGTTTGCGAAAACAAAGCGCTACCCGGTTGCCCGGTTCTGAGTGCCTTTCATTGGTGAGGCAATGGGGTGTGTAGGATTCGATGGTGATCTATTTTGTGATGCCTGTTGGGTCTGATGGCTTCTGATGCTTGGTTCGCTCTGGGGGGAGGCGCTGCACCCTCCCCCCAACCCCGCTCCAGCGCCACGAAATCTACACTACTTTTGCCAATGAGCTAGGCCTACCACGACAGATTTTCTAAAGGTCACCCAGGCACCCATCGCTCTCACAAAATATAGCACGCACCCGCCTAAGTCTTTTTGATTTTGTGTTGCCTTGCACGCAGTTGCAAGCGTCCGTCCTTTCACTGTCCTGTGGTGGATGGGCCCCTCATTGGTTGGGCAATACGGTGTGCAGTTTTTGATGATGCTGTATTTATTTTGTGGTGCCTTCAGCGTCTGGTGGCTTTTGTAGTTTGCAACCTCGCTTCGGCGCCACGAAGTCTGCACTACTTTGGCCAATGCACTGGGCTGCCACGACCGACACTTTTAACCTCACCCCATCGCCCCATCGCATATCCACACTGCAAGTATTGCACACCCTCGCCATCCCTCGCCTAAAGTTTTTGATTATTTGTTGCAATCACCCTTTCATGGTTCTCTGGTCGCCTGCCCTGTTGCTGTTGTCCTTTCCCTAGTTTCCGTTTACTTTCATTGCTCACTGGGCATATGTTTATTTTGATCCCTTTCCTTTTTCTTTTTGATCCCCGTCGAATATTCTTTATTGATGCTGCTGTGCTTAGTTTTTGATCCCTCACCGGATTCGCTTGATCCTTGTGCGAGGTGGTTTGCGGGCGAGTTCAAGCAATTACTGTGAAGTGGATACCTTGGGAGAACATCATGCGACATGCATTACTTTGATATGTGACGGTCGGTGCCTGGCTTTTCTGTCGCCAATCGCCACATGCTTTCAGTCTTGGTTACTTCGCAGGTCTTGCCTGGTGCGCAATCGTTTTGCCTGTGACTTGGCAAGGTTTCGGGATGTCTCGGGGGAAGTCACGAAGGAGATTCGCATTTGGCTATAATACCTCAAAGTGCACTATGTCGGTACACCCCAAAGAGCAAAACACCAATGCGAAATACCAACATGTGTGGTCTCAACATGTGAGATCCACAAGCACCATCCAATCGGTGAGTTGTTCTCTGCGTGGTTGAGGTATGTTCACTAGTGGGGCACCAGGAAGTAAAAGCAGATGCTTTTCACAGATGTCGTACGGAACCAGAACACATTTCTCCTTAAGAGTGCTTCTTTGGTGCTAGCGTTGGTTGGTCAGCCGGGCGTAGTGGGGAGGCATCAGCTCAGGAGATGGTCCAAGAAGTACCTGGAGCTTCAGTGATGAGTGGCACCGTCAGTCTAGGCAGGGCCGTTTCATGCTCTGTGATGTCTTCAGATGATGTCAGACAGAGCACGGCAGAAACATTGCCGCTTGATGTAGGACTCAAACCCGCTTGACAGAGAATTCACCGATCGCGCCACGACGTCCATCACCATGAGGTGGGCCTTCCTGCTGTCGTAGCTCGATGCCCATCACTACAATGCAGAACGAGCTACAAACCTGGAGTTTGACACACTGTGGCTCTGACTTGAAGAGAACGGTGAGAAATGTCTGCAACATTTGGTTGAAACTCGTCTCTCCGACCGGTGAAATGGATGTTTCCAATTTCCCTCTAGGAATGGGAATGGCCTACAATTTGACGGGTCTTCCGAGATGTAGTGGATGGCATTGAATCCTTACAAGATTGAAGAGCTTTGCGAGCACCGTGCAAACAAACACGGCAATTGGCAATAAAGTATGAACCTGGAGAACAGAGTGAAGAAGACATGGATTGAGCACAAAAGGATCAGACAATTCGTTGCACTCCACAGCTTGTGAATGGACTAGTTCAGTAAGTTTGGATGAACGTGTGATTCAGATTTGGATCATCTCAAGTTGTATGTAATTATTGGACAGAGAAGGGGATGGGATGGCAGGGGTTTGCACACTTAAAGAAAGGATCTTGTGATATTTTGTGCAATTGATTGGCATAATGTGCAGCAGCTGAAAGTTCTCATATGTTCATATATGCATGTACTTACAGAGGTTTTGTAGCATCCGGGCTGTCATTTATTGCCGAGATCATTTGCTGCGAGGTGGGCTATCGATGGACACGGAGTATGTCTTCCTGATGCAACTCCGCCATGGTTTTTTGTGAGGATGGTCAAACATGTAGAGAGTGGGAGTCACATCTCTCTCCCGTGTCTCATGAATTGTACGGACCACAAGAGCAGTGCATCAGCACAACAGTGACATTCTGGGCAAATGACCATCCCCTCACCACATGACCTAGTCACATGATACACATGTATGTTATAGTATATTATATAGGAATGTTCGAGCTTTCAACTGTTCTTTTTCCGTGAAGTACGTGGCTCAGGTATATTAGCCTTGGTGGGCTGGACGGTACCCTCAACTCTGGATATCGCTTCAAGACCTTTGGCACTTTGGGCCATATCCGATGCTTGGACCGGATGTGGTTGGGATCAACCGGTGGATGGTGAGAGGTCCGGAGGATCGAGTTGAACCTCGCAGACTTGGCGAAGAAACCGATGGATGTGTATGGAACGACTGGAGGACACGTCCAAGGATTTCCTGTTTGTTTGGGACAGTCCCTGGGCTTAGATGGGTTCACCCATCGTTTCATGTTATGGCTCAGGGAGTTTCTCCGGGTTCATTTGCTGGAAGTGAGCCGCTGTCTTATGAGGCCATCTAGCTAGTATCTTGGATGGTGCTGGTTACTCAGGTGTCACCGTCAGATAGGGCATGGTTGGCTGAGTAAATAAACCGCCAACATAGTCCTTTTACAAAGGGTTTTAGAAGATGCATGCAAAAGAAGGAGCAATAAGGAACATATTGCTGAAACAAACAACCCTCAACCCCACCCAAGATGTTTTCCGCGCAGCGGTCGTGCACAGGCCCTGCGTAGTTTATCATATATAAATGGTTCCGGTGTGTTTGTGTGTGTTGTTTTCAATCAAGTAGCACAACTTCTATCCACTACACTGGAGAGTATCTTGAAATCGTTCATGGGGTCCCTACTCGTACTAAGCGCCCGCATCAAGGATCATATTATATACTACTATGGTTATGCCTGTGAATCCAAAGGATTTCACTTTGTTCCACAGATATCAAGCCGGTGCCGTTCTGCACAGTCTTCAGAAAGTTTCAGGGCTCACTTGTTTTCATGCGACCAAAACAGTGTTTTACAACCTCTTTGAAGACCTCTCGCTCTCCATCTATCGATATTGCAATTTATATATATATATATATGTATCATATAATCATATATAATCATGGGGTTGGGGGGGCTAAAGGGTGGGGCCATTGAGCTTATCATGTAAGCTCTGGATAGGTGATTTCTGGTTAAAGGCTTATTAACATCTCAATAGAGGTTTATCAAGGGCCTATTAAGGTCTATTAGGAGCTTATTTGATAAGCACTTAATAACCATCCTTATTGAGTTTATTGTTGAGGGCATGTGGTCCTCCAGAAAAACCACTGTTTTTGGACACTTGAGACCTTGAACCGTTTCAATAGAATGGTAGACACCCTGGATAGTATCCTGGATGAGTTGATTACTTTGCACGCAATAAATTAGGTGTGTTTCATGTGAAAATTCATCCACACTGGTCCAACAAAATGGACTGGCGTGTCGCCACCAAATGCCAGTTTCCCTCAACCCTTCATGCCCAGACCATTGGTGATGCCGCTCGGATAAGAAATGTATGAACAGCCACCTCCACTGCAGCCCAGCTAGCTGCAAGCCCAAACCCTTACAAGCGCTCTCTCGACTTGGAATATGTGGGGGGCAAAGGTTGGTGATGCAAGTGATGCAAATTAAGGCCTTATTAAGACATCATTAAGGCCTTATTGGATAAGCATTGGATAAGGCCTTAATAAGCTATGAATAAGGCCTTAATAAGGGATGGGAATGCAAAACCATGGTTTTTAACTGGTTTTGGACATCTCCAATGCCAAAACACTGCTATTTGCAGGGCGTTGGACATCTCCAGGGCCAAAGCACTGCTATTTTCAGGGTTTTTGCCAAAGCGCTGCTATTTACAGGGCTTTGATCATCCCCAGTGCCAAACCCTTGCTATTTACAGGGTTTTGGACATCTCCGGTGCCAAACCATCGCTATTTACAGGGCTTTGGACATCTCCAGGGCCAGCACCACCAATGTGCATTCGGGAGGGGCTGTTCATGTTGTTTCTTATCCAGATCTTATCATTTAAGCTAGAAATGCTATCCAGACCTTAAGTGATAAGCTCAACAGCCCCCCCCCCCCTTCAGCCCCCCCCACCCCGTGATATAAAATATCATAGCTATTTACCTATCATGAAAACCTCATCATGGTAGTCGCCTTCCATACCTTTGGATTCCCCAGATGTTGAATCGACCGCAACAACAGCTCCGCTCCGGCTGACATCGCCACAAAGTCGTTCAAAGTCCGCACAAGCTCCGCTCCGCACGAGGAGTAACCTGGCTTCAAAAAGAGACGGATGTGGGAGGCCCCGTGGACCGCTACCGGCTCTTCCTCAACGGCACGAAGGTGAAACCGGATTGGGGAGGTTCGGTTGATGCAGGTACTTGGTTTTGTGAGAATGAACAAGAGTGTGGCAGTCGCTTCATGGTGTTCTTCGTGCTTGGTAGTTCATCATGTGTTCCTTTGGTACCATGTCCATCCATGTCCCAGATCCGCATGTCCGCCATTCATGGCGCGAACGGCACGTTGCGACGTGACACGATCGGCTCGGCAGATCTATGACGACTACAGCCTTCGCGGCAGCCTGGAAACCAATCGTGCAGGATCCCCACCACAGTGGGTGCGGGTGGTGGATGTCGCCTGCACGCCAGGCCGGAGTTAGAGGAAGTTGGCGCCAAGGAATGTAAGATAGAAAGCTTAGGTGGAGAGAGTGAAGGTTATTCTTTGACAAAGATCCCATGTTCGACATGTTTTCACTTTTGTTCGCCGACATGAAACGAGTCAATCATTTGGAGGACAGCAATTGTACTTGGATGCCTTGGATGCACATGTTCTTCAGGCATCAACTACGAGATCACCTTGAGTGGGCGGAACTTCGCCGGCTGGTCGCTGGACGCACTCGTGGAGTCGTTGGGGTTCGGTGGAGTCGGACCGAAGGGTGTCGCTGGGAGTTCGGTGAAACCGTCGGTTGACCGACTCGCGCACCGGTCACGTTGACCGTGCCGAGATGAGGATTTGACCCGACCGGAGATTTTGAGGAACCACGCGTGGGAGGGGATGGGAGTCGAGATGAGGATTCCGTCGACTGACCTATTGTAGGATGTGGATCTGGTTTTACAGTTGTTGTGCAGTTTTCGAGGATTTGTGCAGGGATGGTATCCATTTTTCACAGAGCTGCTTCACTCATGTAGTGCTGAGAGAAAGCAGTAATTTGTGCATCCTTCCGACCCAAATCCATGTATCTTCGGCTGAAGAATTGACGGCCGAACATGGGACTTCCGAATGAAGAGCTTTACAATACAGGACTCACGTTTGAGAGTTCGATCTGAGGAAGCTAGATTCTGGATGGTTCGTGGACTCGTTCATGGAACCAGGGTTCATTGGGACGCTGAGAACATCAAGATCTCACCAAAGTTAAAGTCTTTCAACGCATCCTATAAATACCAAGGAAGCTCCTAGGTCCTACGGTAGTACGCGTAATTCCTTGCTCTTTTCAGCACCATATCCACCTGTCCAGGTCGTCCCAAAGCGCCCCACTGGTTACTGGCTGCTTCCTGCGTCCCGGGAGCATCTCAAATCTTCGGGAGGCACTGGGAAAACATCGTTGACATATCATCATATTTCATCGATTTGCCGGACGAACTTGATGTTTTTCAATGTCCTGAAATTGAATCATCAAGATTCAAGAGGAATGAGCTGCAAGACACACCACTTGACGCGCACTAAAAACATGAGTACTCGCCAGTGGACACAGACCTACCGGAGACAACTCCTGCATTGACTCCGCTGTGCATGTCGAGTCAGTTCCTCAGAAGTTGGACTCGATGACTCACAGAAGGAAGTGGCGCGTCAGTACCAAAGTCCAGCATCCGAGACAATCAGTCTGGGTGCAGCGGTTGAAGCGTAGTGGTCATTCCAACTTCCTGGCTTAATGTGAAGGCAAAATATGGGTTGCGGGTTTTCATTCCCGAAGGCAGAGGGATCAGTTGCCTGATGGGTAAGGCCATGGCTTGCATCGTTGCTTTGCAGCAGATAACACCATCTCATGGAGGTTCGACTCCTCCCTGATCCGCTGCTTCTTCACTCCTTTTCTTAGCTCCTTGCGTTTGTTTGCTTGCTTGCTTGCTTGCTTGCTTTGATTTGCGTTGCTTTGCTTTGCTTTTTTGCTTTTCTCTTTTGGCTTTTGCTTTGCTTTTGCCCTTGCCTTTGCCTTTTTTGCTTTTGCTGTTTTGCTTTTGCCTTTTCCTGTGCCTTTTCCTTTGCCTTGCCCTTGCCCTTCCCTTGGTTTGCTTTGCTTTCTTGCTTCGCTTGCTCGCTTGCTTGCTCGCTTCCTTGCTGGCTGGCTGCCTGCCTGGCTGGCTGGCTGGCTTGCTTGCTTGCTGGCTTGGTTGCTTGCTCTTGCTTGCTTGCTTTTGCTTGCTTTCGCTTGCTTTTCGGGTCTTCTTTATGGCAAGAATGCTACCAGTAGTAAGGCGAGGAACCCTAGTAGCGTCCTTGCTCCTGCTAGTAAGGCCAAGGAGCCCCTAGTAGTAAGGCCAGGACCTAGTACCAGTAGCATCTTGTTCCTGGTAGCAATGCCAGGAGCCCCTAGTAGCGTCCTTGCTCCTGGCCATGCTCGGCAATTCCAGGTCCAATCCTGGCAGCTCAGTGAGGACCGCGCCGCTTTGGCCCTTGCCTGGGACGCTCCACTGGACTCGGCGGGCGCCGACACGGTGCGCTGGGGGCCGTTCTCGGCTGTGCCAGAAAAGGGCACGCGGTCGGCACGCGCGGGTACGGGGTGAAGAATCATGCAGTCCGTGTTTTGTTGATCTTTGGGCAACTTGCCACAGACCGTGTCACAGACCAGTTTGGAACTGAGGGAGTCCTAGCTTCGACACCTCATTTGACACCGATATTGTCACCAGTTTCACACACGGCATTCATTGCCCTTACACTTGATAAATTCAATGGGCTTTAATTGATAAGATCGATGGCTAACGTATTTGCCTCGAGTTCCTTGTTACTCCTGCTGCCAGTAAACCTGCATTACAATATGGGAACACAATAAGAGCCCCGGGCTAACAAGGAAGTCTTTAAGCCTGCTTACCTCATTGGAATGGTCATTTGAAGAAACATTCTTGTATACATCAGTACAACCTCCCAAAGTCCTCGGAGTGGATTTTGGTCACCTGCCCCAACTGCCGCTGGAACCGACCTCGCCGGTGTTTTCCCTCGGCCAGGCTTACTACAACGTCTACCGCGACCAGGGTCTTCGGCAGGCGCTCTTCCAGCTGATCGGCACCACGCAGACGCCCTTCTTCAACGACACTGGCTTGGATGCTGGCAGGGCATACGGCTACCAGGCCGACAGCGAAAAGACCCAAAAGGGACCCAGAGGGGTTTTTGTGTTTCGTTTGAGTGAAACAAAAGGATTTCGGGTGTGACCCATAGACAAGTGACCGAATGAGCTTGGGGAGGCCTGGGTGTGTCCTTATGTGTGGAGGGTAGTTACCAGGAAAGCACATTCTTCAAATCGATCAAGAGGTGCCTTAGAACACAGTGAAGAGGAGACCAAGTTGGCCTGGAAGAGAAGAAGAAATCCATGCCTCCAAGAATGGTGCAAACTCCAAGGATGGCCAGAAGGAAGGAAGGATATGGAAGGATCATGACATTTGCTCAACCACTATATATAGTCTAGTTACATCTAGTTACTATGGAAGATGAAGAGGATCACCCCAGCTGATGACCAGTGATTTACCGCTTTTGCCAGGTCACTGCGGTGAATGCCTTTGGTGAAGGAGTCTTGGCAAGGGTTCAAAGCCTCCATTTTTTTTCCAGATTTGGGGCTGCATAAGATCCATCATGATCCATCCATCTAGTGATTGTAGGAAATGCATATACAGGTCGTTTGGCTTGGAAACTGAAGACCTTGTACTACTAGCTTCTTGTTACTACTAGTAAGGCACTTGTTACTACTAGCGATGCACCTGTTACTACTCATGCCAAAATCCACGTAATTTTCACCGGTGGCTTGGCGAACTCTTTGTTTAACCTCACTGAGAGTCACGGGTGCGACGGGGGTCTCCACGTCTCGTCGGTATACCACGCGATGTGGTCGAACAAGACATGCGAAAGTCCTACGACTGAGTCGGTTATTTCGTTTCTCCCAGTCATCTTGGGATCTTCACTGTACTTCTTGGCTGGTGTGCTCCCCCATGTTCAGTGTATTTGGAAGTGGGTTGCGGTCTTTGAAATAGGCTTTTTCATGCTTTTGCATGACCACCTCTGTCTAGCTTTGGCAATCGTATATTAAGCGCCTATTTTTCGTGACCAAGGTTTCGAGCATACACTACTAAGCAGGTAATGAATGAACAGTGAAAGAGCCAGATTTGTCTTCCACAGTTCTATCTGCTGTTGTCGGCTAGTACCCGCAAGAGATGACAGAATATGACTCCATTTTACTGGTAGGAACCCCACTACCATGATCTCAAAGATGTGCGTTCTGCCTGGTGGTGTCCATCAAAGCATTCCGCATTCCAATCTCTCCTGCCGCAATCCACTTGGGTCACAAGGAGTGCCGCGAATGTTGAAGACTTTGATCCCGCCGTTTGCCTGAATCAGGAGCTGTGAGTGACGTGCTCTTTGTGCAAGCGGCGGACACTCCAGTGGATGCCTCTCAAAGGGAGCGGGCGTTGCGTTATGCTGCATGCTTGTGTGGGGCTTACGGGTTGGAGTATTGGATGGAAATTCGCATGTGAAGGTCTATAAACTTGACGTCCAGGAACATGCATGCTTTGAGCAGTTAGAGACAATGTTGAATGGATAAATTATCAGAAATTGTTGGTCAATGTTGCTCATGGGTATGTGATGGATCATTCATCCTCTGTAGAGCAACGTATTCATTCTAGGAGTGGCCATAGGCTCTCGGCAAGGCGGGCGGGCTCAGAATCCACAGTTCAGACTATCTCCAACGGTGCAACTCGAACTCTCACGAAGTCATTCCCTGACTTGACATATATATATATATGTAATATATATCTATATAACTATAATATATAGTGCTAACTTGTCTGCAACAATATTGTATTTTAGTTCCGTTTCTGCAACCTGTTGCCAGGACTTGTCAGGCTTGCTGAGCCAAGCCAACGTCCAGCTCACACCGGCCGCCACCTTCGGAGTACTTGATGAGGCCGCCGTGGCTGTTTGGTCGTGGTGGCAAGGACTACTACTATATCGACTCAAAAGGAATAATCGGTAGGAGCGAACATGTTACATCATGTTGTATCCAAAGCTAGATGGAAGCTGGTGGCAGGTCTCGTGACTTGTGTTGCTTGGATTTTCAGGAAAGATGTCATTCGTGCCTGGAGATGGTTTGGCACCATTTGTGCAAGAAACATGTGTCAGCACATGTCAGCACTGTTTACTACTATGTTCAGGAAGCGTTCACTTAGAAGCCTTTGGTATTGCCACCGCGTGTGTCCGAAATGGAGAGCACCATCACTTCGTCCCGTTGGATCCTGGATGGGCTACTCCTAAGAGCATGAAGATGCCACTCGAAGGACCTACCGGATGACCTACTGGACTACCTACCGAGCCTCTGTTTAACTTTTTAGCCCGAGGCCCCGCCTCCCTACTTAATAAGTAGGCGCCTACTTAAAGCTTGATTAAGTAGAGAAGTAAACTACTAGCGCTAGCCTATATAAGTGAGTTTCTAGGAAAGACACAGGATAGCTCACGCTTCTTCAAGAAAGCTCCCCGCCTGAGAGCAGCGGGGAGCTTCGAAGAAGCGTGAGCACTAATCACCATCTCATCGATGCACGTCATCTCAGTGTCTCGTATCTTCGACTCCTCAGGTGGGTGGAGTGGTGCAAATCTACAGCGATGCTTGGCGTTGACTATATATACTATAGTATTATATATATATATAGCTTTTAAACAAATAAAACATAGTGTATGTATTTTTTGCTAGGCATGGTAAGTTCCGAGTTCCAAGAAACATGGACCTGAGGACATGGCACGTGAGCTCCGTGCTTCTTGGCCTAAGCCAGTGCGGCTGGCTTCCACCAAAAGAAATTCAAATAGAGCCGTAAGTGGGAAGAATGGGGCTCTAGTTAGGGCTCTTTTTCGGATGGTCAATTCCCTCCTTGTGCGAAGACAGTGTGCATCGCTGCACTCACTTCAAGTGGGCTGCCTTCTGAGCAGGTGTTTTCTTGTTAGAAGAGAAAGGGAGTGTCGCCAACCCAAAAGATGCGCGAAGATTCCTCAAAGCTTATGATTGGATGCGCACCAAGATAGTCAAGTGGTAAGTGGACACTTGTCGAATTACAGATCTTTCCTTAGAGAGCCATGCGGGTCCATTCCCCCCGATCCCTCATCCATTTCCCTATGAGCTTTCACCTCTTCCCGAAGACAGCGCGACTTCCTCGAACCCTGGGGGATCACCATCTCTTGGTGTTGTTGCTAAGGGCAAAGTGGCTCATTGTTCGAAGCATAGACATCCCTACAGTTCCCACATTAAGACCCAGAAGCATGATTTTCCTTGCGGCTCCACCTGTCAAATTGCATTCCCAAATTGCATTACTGCAACTCATATTAACTCTGATCACTTTGCTTGTGGCTTCTGGTTTCGGTTTCGTTGATCGGTTCACATCACGTTCTTATCGGCTTCGTCGGCAGGTTGAGGGCTACACCGGTCAACGCCAGGCGCATGTGGCTGCCTTTGGCCCCGTGCGCTTAGCGTTGGAGGCCTCATGCGGTGGAGGGCGATTTGGTCGGTGGTACGTGGACATGGTGGATATATATGGATAATATGTGGATAGAGAGGAGAGACATACAGCTCTATATAAAGGGAGGTGCATACGTAGCTTTTTGTGGTAGACAGTGGCTGGGGTGTATGGGAAGGATAGAACTCGAAGTTTGGAAGTCCACCGTCCACCATTCTTGAGATGCAACTTCTTGATAGTCATTTGGGTGTAGCCAGAAACGATGGATCTATATGTAGAAAACACGTGAAAGTTAATAGAACTCAGATTCCTGGGTGTTCTTATTTGTTCTTGGCATGTTGACTCTTGCCATTGGCAGTCCAGCGTTCCTTTCAATATGGACCTGCTTTGCTCTGGAGGCACTGGACCTGGCAGGGAACACTGGAGAGGAGGATCCCTGTGAGGAATCCAAACTGGCGATCGCCGTGGGTGTCCCTGGGCAACCACTCTCCCGGGAGGGCCGTTGCGGATGCTGACGTGTCGGTCACTGGTGAGGTGCCGGTCGGCGGTCATGACCCCCACCGGTTTGGTTGAAAGACCTTCTCTCATATCATGATTACATAAGATTACTCAATAATTACTTGATGAATTTAATTGATATAAGACGATAATACAATATGTGTATGTACAGTGCCTTAAAATCTTCATGGATACTATCTTCATGGCTGATAGGAGAGTCCCTGGAGATCCGCGGTCGCAGAGGGTCAGGGTCGCGACCTGCATGGAGGGGTGCTTCCAAGGACCTCCATCACGAGTTTTGCGCTGGCGACCTCGCTGAAGCGAACTCCGTCGTCCATGCGCTTTCGCCGCTGGGAATTGGTTGGCGAAAGCGGGTGGAGAAAAGGATTATTGTAGAAGGGCTTTGCAGGTTCAGTCATGAGCGCCAGCAACTCCTGTTGAACAATGAAATCCTGTTGTAGGCTTCGAGCAACGCCTTTCGGTCAGATGTCAGAAGGCTCCGAAAGCTGTGGTAGACAATGCCTCAGCCAGACCCGGATTGATGCCTCCAAGGCATGGGCTATCATGGGCTGACCAACCACCCGCAGATCCATTGTAACACCATCCCCCGAACCTTAAAAGACATTTGGACCCTTAGACCATCAAACTACAATCTACTACAATCTGAACTAACACAATGTTGGAAAACACGTGTTCTGAACCTACCCAACCGTGAACCCTGACTAAACAACAACCTGTAAGACCTGCCTAAAAAAGCCATCCAAATGCACCACGTGCCTTTGCATCTGATATGCAAGATTGTCTACTGACAGAGGCCCTGCAGATTCCCTGCATCTTAGTGGTCAGGAGATACCAAGAAAAGATCCTGCACCTGGAAATCAGGGAAAATCAGGACGAACATCCATTCGAATCTCTTTTCCTTTGCCCAGGCATGGGGACTTTGCCCTCATCAGCTGGCAGACTGGCTGGATTAGCTCATCCAGTGACACCTCATCCAGCGGCTGGAGGATTAGCTTGACGCCGTGGCGCTAACCCGCCAAAGCTTGCGGGGGCGCCCACAGCGTTGGCTGTGCTGCGTTTTCTCAGAGGCGAAGAAAGCAGTGGAGCAGACATGAGAAGCAACAGACATGGACGAAAGAATCAGTTGGGTGGAATTTATCTGTCCAAATCTGGTAGATAATTTCTTCGTCCTGATATGTGTGATCAATAGAACAACCCTGGAAAGGGTGCATAGGTGCTTCTTATCATGTTTGAATGGCCAAAGGCCTTCAGACCTTGAGGGCGACCCTGGCCCGGCCGGTGTGACCACATCCTAGACAACCCAAGTCAAGTGGGGTGTCTGAAAATGAGGGGACCCTCAAACCAGCCTCAAACTGCCTAAAAGGGACTGATCATGAAAAGGCCAATGATTCATCCCTTGCTTGGGGGTTCCCTCATTTTGAGACACGCTCTAGATCCTTCTTACACAATGCTTCTTAGATGGTCGCGCTTGGAAGATGCTTCAAGAAGGGAACGTGGCACGGAGATCACACCTGTCTTCTCGGTCGTCCTTTGCTAACGAGCCCCAGGATCTGTGCCTAGCGGAAGCGCTTCCCAAAGGCATTTCTCGAGAAAGGAGGAGAAACAAAACGTGCAGAGATGTAGTCTCATGCAGATATTCTTGCTGAATTAGGTGCTGTCTGCTTGTCACTCCCCAGCGAGGCCAAACAAAACAAGCCTCATATATCAAGTGCAGAGCAACTGTCGAGCTTCAAGATGTTTCGCTACTAGGAGCAAGGACGCTATTAGGGGCTCCTGGCCATACTACTAGGAGCAAGGATGCTACTAGGGGCTCCTGGCCTTACTACTAGGAGCATTTAGGAGCAAGGACGCTATTATGGGTTCCTGGCATCGCTACTAATATTAATATTTTCTGATAAATATGATATGTAATTATTCTTGCAAAATATATCTGAATTACTATTCTTATTAATTTATATTATTTTTGTAATATAGTTATTAATATTAATAATATATTTATATATTTGAATGGTTATATTTTTAAAAACAATATTTTATTAATGTTATATATATTATTTATAATTAAATAAACATTTTATATATATTTAAATTAATATGTTTTTTATTTTGTTATAATAAATTTATATGTTTGTTTTAATAATATAGATATTTTTTTAATTTTATTTATTTAAATATTCTATTTATTTAAAAATAATATATATATAATATATTTTTTATTTATATATATTTATTTAAATTATATTAAAAAATTATATATTTATTATTGAATATATAAATAATTAAACTAAAATTAATAAATTTATACATTAATTGAAAATATAATTGAATTTTTATTTGAATTTGTTAGATTTGGGGATTTGGTATTTAAGGAATTTGAATATTTGTTGGATTGTTTTTGGTTATTTGTATTTTCCGTTTGATACCGATGTTAGGGGTTAATTTATAGGATTTTATATATTAAATTTTATTTTAATTTTTTTATTATAACGAAAGGAAACAAAATCTTAGATTTTAAGGGTTTTTTAAACCGGAAGGGTTTAGGCGAGGGCAATAGGACGATGCGAATTGAATGATTGAATTGTAAGGCCAGGAGCCCCTTATAACGTTTTTAGCTCCTAATATTAAGACTAGGAGCCCCTAGTCGCGTAATAATATTTTTAGCTCCTAGTAATAAGTGTCGCAATGCGAATGTGTATTTTTTTTTTCTATGCGTTTAAATCATTTAAATGTGTGGATGGGATCCTTGTAGGCTTTCCGTGAGAAGCTGGAGCGGGCTTTTTTTTTTTTTTGTTTGATGCTTATTGGTGGATTTTACGACACAGAATTTTCTAAAAACCACCGCCGGAAGAAAATGATTGGGCACCAATGAAAAACTAAAAGATTACCTTGGACCCATAGGATTTTAATACGTAAAATCCTGTAGATTAACCCCTGTCGTCGGTACTAAGGGGGATAATTATTGTATATTATTGTTGCTTCGGATTCTGTGTTGTTTTCCCTGATTCTTTGTAATATAGGAATTTGCAGATACGGAGAAGCGTTGATATGCTCAGGTCAAAGCAAGTCCTTACTTTGTGGATGGCATGGACACCTAATTCCCCAACTCATGGTAGTGTGCGCAACTCCTACTCCTACTGCCAGGACCTAATGGATCTTACCTAGCGGCGTTCTGAGTTCGATATGACGTCTTTGGGGCGTCAATGATAATTGTCTTATTGGCTTGCGGTTCTTTTGTCACGGGGAATGTTCGCGAACAGGTCTTGCAGAAACCATCTCAGCAAGTGTGCGGGATGTGCTGGGGCACGAGAACACATATCCCCAACAAATTGCGGTCGTGCAATAGGCCAGTTGGCCCAAAGACGATGGGTAGCGCAGTGGACCGTTTGAATGTTAGATAGTCAGATTTATATTGTGGCACGCCGGCACACCAATGCAAATATATAACATTGGGACCTTGCGGTTGTGGAAATCAGGCGTCAAGACGTGCCTGTTTCTTAATCACAGCCTTTTGAGAGTGGCAACTAAACACCAAGAGACAGACGTACTTAGGAATTGTACCATGTCGTATGTATTGCCACAGAGGGAAATGCAAAGAACAAATACCGTAAAAGGGACGCCGTATCTACAGGAATTGATCTACAGGAATTTATGTATTAAAATCCTGCGCCCTCCCTGACCATAAATTCTCAGTAAATTCCTGCGCCCAACCCTGTGAATTACCTCGGCACCCCCATTTTACATAATCCAGCATGCCCAATCGGAGCCATTTTGTAAAATCCTGCGCTCTACCTGACATGCTATCCCAAGAGTTTTTTTGAAATGGAATAATTTCTGAATCGGTGGGGTCAACCCCCAGGATTTCAGTATGGGATAACCAAGGGGTTATTTGTCTTGTGTTTATCGTATGACGAATCGATGCGAGGTTTTTTTAGGAAATGATTTCCGTAGGTTGTTAGTAAATTGGATCGTCCGTTGTTATTTCTAAATCGTCCGATATTATAATTATCGAATCGAGTGGAGCGAAAGGCCTAATTTATAAAATGGGCCGAGGTTATATTGCACAAAATATCATTGATGATCTCAATATGAATCCAAGCCGCGTTATGTAGAACGTATTTATGCACATGTTGGTATACAAGGTCTGATGAGGTCTATATCTAATGAATGGGGATATGGTGTGGAAGGCCAATGACGAAGCTAAATAATCGATTAGCTAGAAAATAGGTATGAAGCAATTCATAAAGGTATACATTTTAACGAACAGATTATATGTATCAGATGATGTGCTGCTCAAGTCGAAAGGTGGGCGTGGCACAAAATCGATACTGTACACAAAATCAATTCCAATTTAAAGGGTGGTTTGATCGTCCTGAATTACCCGTTGAATCAAAGGCAATAATTTACAAGGAACAAAAGGATGGTTGTGCTCAATGATCTTGACCTGAGACGATTCGACATTTGGCGGTGAGTCGGGATCATCAAAATATTGTTTGATCATCCCATGGCAGAATAAGATTGGACATGCGGCACGACGACAATACATTTGCAATACAAATTCCATCCTGAATCAACTAAAATAAGAATTACATCCTAATTGAGGATTTTATTGCCATCAGAAAACGATGTTTGGCATTGAGAGAGCAACTCTGAGGACAAAATTTTGGTTGTTTTTGGACGAAATGTTGATCACTTTTGGCGTGGAATTAGATTGCGAAAATGTGGCGAGGGAGATCGCTAGGAGCAGGTATCCATCTGCCAGAAGACCTGTGAAAGATAAAAGAACGATTTCTGGAAAAGGAATGGATGATGATTTTTGTTGCCATGACAAAGCCACGTTTGGCATTGAGAGAGTAATTCTGAGGACAAAATGTTGATCGTTTTTGGCGTGGAATTAAATTGTGGAACGTGCCAAAGGATATAATTGGGAGCAGGTATTTATCTACCAGGCAGAAGATCCGTAGGAGGTGAGAACGGCTCTGGAAGAGGAATGGAAGAGGAAAACGACGTTTGGCGCTAAGAGAACAACTCTAAGGATGAAAATTTGCCTGTTTTTGGCGTGGAATTAATATGGAAAGCATAGCGACGGAAATCGCTAGGAGTAGATGTCTCCCGGCCAGAAGATCTGGAGGAAGTAAAAGAACGACTTCTGGAAGAGAATTAAAAGATAATTTTTATTGCCATCAAAAAGCGACGTTTGGTATTGAGAGAAAGCAATTCTTAGGACGAAATTTTGGTGTGGAGTTAAATTGTAGAAAGCGTGACGAAGGAAATCGCTAGGAATAGCTATCTATCGTCCAGAAGATCCGTGAGAGCGACGTTTAGCACTAAGAGAGCAGTTCTAAGGACGAAATTTTGGTTATTTTTGACATAGAAAAAGATTATGGAAAATGTGGCAAAAGAAATCTTTAGGAATAGGTATTTATCGGCCAGAAGACCGGTGGGAAGTGAAAGAACGGTTTCTAGAAGAGGAATAGAAAAGAATTTTTATTATTATTAAAAAATAACGTATAGTATTGAAGGAGCAATTTTAAAGACGAAATTTTAGTAGTTTTTATGTAAAATTAAATTATTAAAAATGTGGATAAAGAAATCGTTCTTCCAAAAAATCGATAAGAAGCAAAAAATTAATGACAATAAAGAAATCGTTCTTCCAAAAAATCGATAAGAAGCAAAAAATTAATGACAAAAAAAAATAATTCTAAAAACGAAATCTTAATCGATTTTTTGTAGAATTAAATTGTAGAAAGCGCGGCGAAAGAAATTATTAAGAATTAAAAAAAATCTATCGACCAAAAGCTTCGTAAGAAATAAATAATTTCTAGAATTGCCATCAGAAAACGATATTTAACACTAAAAAATAAATCGTTAATTATATAAATATCGGCGCAAATCGGAGTTAAATTCCAATAACGATTCCTTCATTGTTTTAAGCATAAACATATAAATAAATTTACGAAAAAATAATTCCAAAAATGCATATTCAATCATTTTTAAAATAAAATTAAATATATAAAATATATAATAAAGAAAATAAATAAATATTTTAAGATATTTTTTATAATTATATTAAATATAAAAAATATATTATTATATATCGAAATTATTCTACGAACAATTTTTAAATTCAAAATATATCATTTAAATCCTTTATTTTCCACAATTAATTATATATTCGTTTAATTATTTAATTATTAATAATTCCATTCAATCGACGAAAAAATTATCAATCCTTAAATTATATATTAACATTTATAAAATATATTTAAAACAATTCAATAAATGTAATATTTATATAAAGAATATATTCAATCTTTCAAAATATATTAAACGACACATATTTTGGGAGACCTAATAACGTCCCATTTTCTAAAATTAATTGTTATATTTAACAAACCAATTGCTAATATAAATGCCTCTTTATATAGTTATATAAGTAATGTACATTGAAAAATTGTTATGTCTTCTTTGCTATGTAGCAAGGGTTGGGAATCGTTATTGTCCGAACAAAGAGTTCCAGGAGGGAGGGTCAAAACATGTCAAAAGCCTTCAGAGTTGGTACGCTACTGCGCTACTTATGGGTCAATGGCTCCCAAAGGCAACCGAAACGTTAGCCTAGTGGGCCTTGGGGTCGACCAAAACAAAGGATGCGTTTTCTGATCGGATTTGAGAGGGGTTGCGATGTTAGCTGTGCAAGAGTTTGCGGCCGGCCTCATTTGCATCACCTGGGTGCTTGAGAGCTCAGAAAGGAGATTGGATGAAGTGAAACTGATGTTCGAGGCCGTGAAGCTCTAGCTGAAGGCAAGAGCAGGAGGAGCATGGTGAAAGAGGTTGGACAAGAAGGCTGGAAAGGGACTTGGAAAGGGCAGGAGGTGAGAAAGGGGATTGGATTGGATGAACATGATATGGATGTTGGAGGGATTGGGTCACCCTCTCTCTGTCTCTCTGGCGGGCATGACTCGTCCCAGGTCTGTCTCACCCAAACGTCCAACTGCAACTTTCCAAGTATTAAGGTGACGAATCGCAGTGGCAGGGCTGCGTCACATTGGAGTTCCTTTTGTTTTCTGAGAGCTTCTTTGTTTGCTAAGCCTCTTGCCTTACTGCGCAGGAAGATTCAGGAAGGTGCATGTTTGAAAGGCCTGGAGTGGGGTTCACTCATGACTACACCGGCACCTCACTGCGCCAACGCGCATCATGACACATCGCCTCACTGGGTGACCATTGTCATACATGGATAGAAAAAGGAGAAGGGAGGTCTGCCTGACTCTTTTTATATAGCCTCAACCCAGGAATTTGTAGAGTGAATCCTTTTCTTCCCAGGGTGCCACGGTGCGACCTTCTCTGTTCCGTGCGAAGCTGCTTCTCTGTTCCAGGCCACCTTGGCAGAACTGGCTGTCGCACAGTGCGCAAATAACACAAATATATCATGTGTTCAACGTGCTGTTGGCCACCGGATCCGTCTGTCAAGTGCACGTCTGGAGAACACAAGTCCAAAAGATGTCCAAAATAATCGAAAATTGGTGGGAGCACTTTTTGCACCATTGGGGTGTCAATCGAATGGCCTGCATTTCAACCCTAGCAGCAAAGGCATGCAGAACGACATGCTGCAAATGACATCAAATTACGCTTTCGCCTTCACACCTTCAGACTCGGTTGCTACACGGAGCCAACCCGAATCTGGAGCAACCGGGAGCAACACTCACTCCTTACAGGAGCCCATCGTGAAACGAAGCTCGAAATAATAACTCGATTGGGCAGGCATATGCGTGCGTGATTCTGCGTGACAGGTTCGATCATTCACCAACCTGAGACTTCACGAACCCCACGTCGTGAAGTTCGGTCGTTTCGTCCCAGCATGCTCTTGACTCGGCATCTTAGTTCAATGAAACACACCTGGGCCCAAGCAAAAAGAACTTGTCCAAATGTCCAAATGTCCTATGACATCCTATGGCCATACCACTCTCGTCTCCGTCGAGTTGCTCGCGGCGTCGTGCCTGCTCGCAAGCTTTGATCTCACCAGCCTTTGCCGCCCAAAATGCTGGACAAGACCTTGGAAAGTCCAACACCGGTGGACAGTATGGAAGGTATTGGGGGAATGCGGGTGCTCAGTGCATCTTAATGAGCACATTCTTCTCCAAGGTCTTTTCCTTCAAAGTTTCTTGAGATTCTGGTGACCTCTTCTCTGATGTTTCAGGGAACTGCAACCAACTAGAAACGGTCACAACCAAGAATGGACAAAAACTCTGGCTTCAGCCGCCAACGGCAAAAGCTGAATGAATCAATCATTTCGTAACGATTCATAGGCACCTTGCCTTTTGCACTCGAAGTGCTCTGCGGGCCTTTCGGTTTTCTTGAGGCGGCACGGTATCCGAACTTCAACTCCCAGTGGCCCCTGCACCAGCACCATACACGAAGAAGGCAGCCATGGTAGGAGTCCTTGTGGCCAGGCTGCTCAAGGTGGCTGCTCAAGGTGGCTGTCTGCAAACTTGTCTTGAACCGAGGCATCCCTTCACGTCCCTTCTTCTTGTCCCAACCGGCAACTAGCATGGCTGATCAGCTTTAATTATATATATATATACATGTCACAAAAGGCTTGGAGCTATGACATCTTGTGCCCAAAAAGCATCGCTTTAGATCTGCATCAAAAGCGTCCCTTTGGGGATCCCCTCTTCACATAGACTCATAGACCATCATAGACCCAATATGCCCCATCAACCCACGACCACAGAGCCGGACGAAGTCCGAGTAGTGAACTGATCAATGCCAAAAAGGCCTTGGAGGCGCCTAGGGACCTGGCACTTGCCGATAGCCTCGTGCAGCAGAATGAGTCCAAATGCCCGGCTTCTTGAAAAACAGTGGACGCAGTTGTCTTTTGGGAAAGAGATGCTGAGTCAAAGCATGGCCTATAGTTCTCCACCAATCACTATGCTTCAGGCTCGCAGGAGAAAACAAATGATTTGTTCCGCGGATTCTTCAATTCTTGGATGTCTGGGTCTTTCTGTGTGCTCTGTCGTGTCTGGCTGTCTGTGCCACCACAAATGCCATGCAAGCATCTACTGTTTTAAGCCAAACTGATATTAAGCCAAACATGTGTCTGTAAGCATCGTTTGGCTTTCAAGCCAAAGCAAACATAAGAACTGATATGAATCAAAGCCACGGAATCAGAACCAGAATCAATCAATGAGTTCATGAGTTCTATATTATTCTATCTGGATTTTCACGTTGTTTCGTTCCCCCCTGAGTAAGGCATAAGATACATGGTTGCGAAACCCCTGAGGCACCAGCGTAGAAAGAAGACTGGGCTAGCAAACCTCACTGGCGTGATCCGTACAGCTGCGGCCATGCGATGCCATGCGGCTGTTGTTCGTGTTTCGACCTTCGAAGGCGTCCTCTCTGTGCCCCCCAAACGAGCCCCTTAGAACGAGTCGGCCAAGGGACGGAACGCCCAAGAGGCCTTGCTGAACCCCCCAGGCACCAATGAGCCCTCCAGCTGCCACATTGTGCAGCAGGGATCTTCGGCCTTGGCTGCGGGGCAGTGAGTGGCCAGTCCAAAAGCGATGTAATGGCTGGTTTCAATGTCGCATGTTCATGTCGGAAGCCTTTGGCCTTTGATCATACAAAACACCCGCGAAGTCAAACAAAACATCACATGACATGACGGCCGGCACTTGAAACAATCATCCTATGTTGTAGAGAAGCAGGTCTAAACACTGTTATTCCAATGCCCCTCCGCAAACGGCGTAATAATCTGCTTCAGGACTCCATCTGGAACACAATGCTGCTCAAATGAATGACAAATAAAATAGATCCATGGTCAAAGAACGTGTGTTGCCCGTCTAAAGTCAGAAAATACATTACGTCACCGTCGCTTCAAAAACAATCAAACACATTCAAATCAATGTCTATGTAACAGCATGCGCTTAGCATTCGCCTGCAGAAGTGTCATTGAATATCTGCTTGGAGTGGCACCTATTTAGAGGGTCACAGTCACAGCTACTCAGATACTTGTTACCAGTGCAACACCAACTGAAGCCTCAAATCTCTCCAGCCCCGTCCACCTCGCCCCTTTTGCTCCTCACACGTGAGTAAACCGGACATCACGCACGCACACGGCGGAGCCACTCTGGTTCTGGACCTTGCTTGGCCAGTCTGTGACGATATGCGCCGTGTACACAGGCAACACATACAAACCGCCGGTTACTGCTGTTGTTTCAGGGGTTGCCGGAGATGTACTTGTTGATCTGATCTTTGGGACATTCAAGGGCCCTCCTCCAAAGCGCTTCTTGATACGGTTCTGCTCCATCACTAACTTCCGTCAGCATCAAATGATGCAATAGACCCCCAAATAAGCAAGTAATCCGAGGCAAATGCTGTGACAGTGGGTCCAAGGTACTAGTGGACCCTGTCGAGCATCCTAACGAGCGTTCCAACATTCAAAACGACTTGGGCTGAGACAAACAAGATAGTCAACCGACGGTACAAACCAATAGATTAAAATATCCTCACCACTTCGGTGCTTCGAACAGCATGGCCCAGCGGCTGTCCAGCCAGCAGCGCAAGCATCGGGGTCGCATTGTCCAGGCCCAGTCTTCACGCAAATCTCGCATTGATCGGCGCATGAAAAACACCTCCAAAAAGCAAAGCTGCGCTTTTCTATGGTATTGAGGGGAGCTTTGTTACAAACTCAACACAAACAGGTTTTCCAAGTGTTCGTACTTCTTGGGAAATTGATCTTTTTGCGTTTTGGAGAGTCGACTCCACGTCTAGGCCAAGGGGATTTGCTCAGTTTTGCAACTCCGTCGGCTAAGCCAACTAAGCCAAAAAACTTCAACTAAGTTCACTCTAAATATCTCTAAATCCATCGTATATAAAATCCCTCATCTGAAATGACTACATTAATGCCTGCAGCTAAGGTCCAAACACGTGATGATCATTTCCTTTAAGCTCCAAGTTCACTGGGGCCCAGACCTGCCGCCCTGTAGGCCAAAGCCCTGGTGACACTCCGCGCACCCAGCGCCCTCACGGTCGCCCGAAGCACCACAGCGGCGGCAGTTGGCAGCACAGGCCTCGCAGCTCTTGTCACTGGTGAGGCCGAATCCCTCGCGGCAAACGTCACAGCCGTAGGGGGAGTCACCTGGGCTCGTGGAGGCGCTGGCACCGCGTGATTGCGACTCTGAATCATAAGTGGTCCTGGTACATGGATGGGGTTCTTTCTTCTCGGATGCGTGGTGCTAATGGTGCTGTTAAGCTTCTTTTCTTATGGATGTGATTTTGGGTGAAGAGTGCGGAGAAGTACATCGTTGTACATCGCTCGTCCTGGAGCTGCTGGAAAAGGGGCGACAGACCCTCATTCGTACGACGGAAACTGTTCTCTGCGACACGTTTAGAAGTTTGTCAGTCACCGCCCCATCTCCTGGCATGTCCGAGAAGCATCAAATACCATGTAAGCGGTCAAAAAGGATATCACACAAGCAAACGCCGACAGGAACGATCAAAGGACATCAACCACAGGGATTCCAAAAGATTGCCGTGTGCAAACAAGAGACAAACCAGGCAGCCTTCGACCTTGCATTTGCTGCATTCTGCACCACCTCATCTCAAGGCTGACCGCTTTGGATCGCACCATGGGTTGGTGAAGTTGGCTCGACATGAGGGTCTCAACATGTCTCAACACTTCACATTTATTTTCACAGGACCTCTCATCATATTTCTCCATGCACACGATCAAAGGCAATTGCTGTTGTTTTTTCTAGAAGCCATGGGTCATCTTCCCGTGCTGCAAGCGCGGGGGGGGCTATCACAAGTGGGCAAGACACCTTTCAGCTGAAATTCTCAAAAGGCTACTACATCATCATCAGCGGACTAGCGCTAGAATCTAGAGGCGGTACATCACCTCGATATGAGTCGAGAATTTGCAGCCTACCACCATCGGCCAGAACAATGGGACAACTGTACCAATGAAAGTGTTGGCATGTGTGATTCTTATCAGGGCCCACTAAGACATTTCGCCACTTTGTGCACAGGAACCTCACACAAGAGACTTGGTTTGGTTCCACCCGAGCATGAGCCTTCGACATCCCTGGCCTTGCAGGCAATAGCCCGACCGACAGCTACCCAGATCGCAACGTCCAGGGCCCGCCCGGGTACAGTTCTGGCAGTGCATGGAACATGGCGCGCAGCTTCCTGTCGCCGTCCTTAGCGTCCAGGGCGCTGGAAGTGCCATATAGTGCTTCTTGGATTGACATGATCATACATTATCCAGGTCTAGAATCTTGGATGATCTTGGATGCACAAGCACTTGGCCGACGTCCCCTGAAGGGCTCCCGAATCATCTTCGACATGTCCGGACGTTTTATGTGAGTATCTTGATAACATATTTGATCCAACATGCTCCAAGCTGCCATAGGGCCTATACTTTGTGGGGGGCTCAGCACGAAAGGGGCTTCCCGCTCTCACCCAGTGCCGGGACTCAGACTGAAGCCTTGATGGCACATCTCGGGATCGCATCGGCCCTCACCCAATGCTTCACATCTGGAGCAATGATCTGCGCAGGGTAAGCATTCCTCACAGGAAGATCTCCGCGAGAACCAGGACATGATCTGGAATGCATGCAGGACAATGTAGAATGTTCAGAACAAATCTTTGAGGTGGTGTCGGTGTCAGAAGTTATAAAGAGTCTTGGCAACACTGCAACACTGCGCTGCAGGTCGACGGGTCAACTACAAGCTCCTTGTTGCCAGTCAAAATCACAGGGCATCCAAAATCACTTAAGGTATTTCTGTTTGATCAATCTGGGGCTTTGTGGCATTCAAGCCCCCACAATCCTGGACGCTCTCATTGTGGATGGCAGAGGTCTTCAGAGTCGCCCCTTCCATGCATTCCTGACACGCTTGACCCGGGCAGTCGTTGCATCCTGTCAGGGCATGCATCATGCAGGCTCTTGCAGCTTTGACTTGACAGCTAGATCTATATACATCTGATCTTCAAGCAAGAGACCATTGAAAGGCAAAAAAGCAAGAACAAGCCTTCACCGTATCATAACCACCACCCCTCCAGCCAACAGCACTATCCACGGCGTGGCACTATCCATGGCACCAAAACCCTTTGCCCAAACGACTCCTGCCTACGACCTGGCACGGTAAGCAGTTCCCCTTGGACAAACCAAAGGTGGCCGGACAGCTCCGGCACGGCAGCGGCGCGGACCCCGTCGTCGTCTCGGCCGCGGACCTGGTGGCGAGGCCAGAAAAGCTGGATGGGGCCTTGGTGATCTGGAAGAAACACCTACGCTTTTGGTTCCCCCAAGTTCCCGTATGTTCCCGTATCATCCCATGAAAGATGTTTTTTTTCGATTTGGGAGACTGTGGTCCACTGGTGGTTCTGCTTTTTCAGACTTGAAAAAAAGTTTCAAGTATGACCTTGGAGTTGATACCTGGCCATTGAGACTTAGTTTGTGTCACATGGCTTCGCCGCAGGAATTTGTGACAAAGCGCAAGCAAAAAGAAACATCAACGACACAAAAGTAGGCTGTGCTGTGCTTAGTGTCTGTCTGGGATCTTCATCACAAAGACACAAAGGGCTCACACACGGTAAGCACCGGCCAGCAGAGATCCCAAAGCCAGGCAAACATCCAGCAGCATCACATCGGCCAGCACCCGCATGACTGCAGTGAGCACAGCCGTCGGAGCACGGGAGGCAAACTCGATTCGGTGCCACGTCCCCAACGGAGTTGGGATGTGGAGGCTCTTCTGCAACAAAGCCCGGTTCGCAGTCTAAACCTCAAGCGTTCTGGGTGAGGTGAGCCGGGGTGAATATGGTGGGTCTGGAGAGGGGAAAACATGCCGGGAACTTTGTAGAAACAGAAGCTTCCTGATCTCCATTGGCTACAAACCATCTAAAAGTCTTTCAAACTTGTTGCATGATTTCGTGCATCAATGCAATTCAGGGAGCCTACAAACAAACAGCCCGTGAACTGAATTCCTAAAAGCAAAGATGTGCTTCTGATTTCGCATTGCCATGCTTTGAGGCTCTAAGTTCCTCCAAATGGATTGCCCGTCGGTAGTGCCAGAAATTTGTTAAGGTTTGGAACCAAAAGGTGGATGCTCTGCCTGCACACTCCCAAGTCCCAAAGCCCATCACTGGAGCCTTCCAAAAGCCAAACGGCAAGAGCCATGAGAGTCGCATCGCAAACAATGTGGGGAGCAAACCTGGCGCCGTCTCCCGTCGAGTCAGTTCACAGGGTCAACAAAATGTACCGGCACAAAACATGTTTATGATCCGTGAGACCCTGACGCTAGGCCAGGAGAAGGCTATCGCCATTGTCAGTTCTGCAGACTCAATAACAATGTGGCACCTGCGGCAGGCAATCAGTAGTGGCAGTTCTTTCAGGGATCCCTTTTTTGCAAATCAATTATCATCTTCCATCGTGGAGTCCACCATGTGGGAGTGGATAAGGGCAGCAATGACCATAATATATTACAATTGCTATTACAATTTATATGATTACAATATATTTGATTATAA